AGCATATTTTCTCAAATTCCTCTTGTCAGAGTTGATCTAAAACAACTATGAGACCCACGTTATCCCTTATGTAACTTACAGAAAGCATTTCAAATGGACCTTAAAGTGAGATTATTATGTCAATCTGTCCCTTCCTAATTCCAGCACTGCGAGGGGGACCCAAGTTCTCATCAGCAAAAACACGTGGGTTTGCTATCCTGGCTCCAAAATGGTGGAATTTGCTCCCCATTGAAATCAGGACAGCAGAAAGCTTACACATCTTCCGGCGCAGACTGAAAACTCATCTCTTTCGACTCCACTTCGAGCGATAGAACTGCTAACAGAGCATTTATATACTAATAAAGGACTGGCTTATCTAAAGCCAGTTGAGTAGCACTTGAAATGTTTGGCTCTATGAAACCTGATGTACTTATATGATTCTGTTTTCTTCAAGTTTGTATCTTCCTGGTCGAATGCACTTATTGTAAGTCGCTTTGGATAATAGCGTCAGCTAAATGCAATGTAATGTAATTGTAAAAACACTGCTTTAACCCTTTAACTGCCAGCACCACCATTTGGTAGAGCACATTTTGTGTCTTGATATCTTGTTGAAATAAAAAAGTTTAACTGATTTAGCCAGCTCTACCCTTTGGTTGACATGTTATGCACAAAACAACCTCTAGATGTCACTGTGGTTCGAACAGAAAGCCCTTCAGCTAGGTGTAATTATGTTTTTGAAACTTTTTTCACTATCTTTTATGAATATATCTGGTTGTATATATTGCTCATTTTCCATAAAAGAAACAAATGTATTTCAGTTTGTGTTTTATTTGAGTTTGATTCATACAAATACTGTACTGTATATGATAATTACCATAAAAGGCCAGCTCGACCAGTTGGTAGAGGCTCATAAAAACAAAACTGTGTGGTCAGTCAAACAAAAAAAAATGGTTTATGGTTATATGTGGCCCATTTGATAAAAAAATGCAAACAAATAATTTTTCCATAGCTTTTTTCTTGGTCCGGCAGTTAAAGGGTTAATGGTCAAGCAACGTAACCTTTAAAGGGCAAATTGATCCAAAGCAACAACAGATGTTATTTTGTGAAGTAGTATTTATGGGTCAAAGAAAATATATTCCAAAACATTCCATTATTATTGTATACTATATACAACTGCATTATGAGTACTGTGTGAATTGTACCAAATTAACTACTGTAATTGCAATTTGTACTCTCCTTTCAGCTGTTTTTTCCTCTCCTGAGGTAATTATCCGGCTTTTTAGCTGCTAAATGCTCCACCAGCGAGTCACTAACACTGTGTCTGGTGTCTGGCAGGTAGCTTACTGTGGGTTTGTAAGAGATTTTGTTAAAAACAGCTGCCTGCTGTTGCTGGAAACAAGATTGGTACCAAGAGTTAGATTGAACCAAAAGCTGAGAGATGTTAAAAAGACTTTCCCAAACATACCTGCATTTATTCCATTGTTAACATAAGATATTGATTGAGTTGCTTTAAATATAACAGTTTGAGTTTCAATCAGAATCAGGTTTATTGTAGGTTTATACATACAAGGAATTTGCTTCGGTGTTTACAGTAGTGTGTGACAAAAAAGTATTAAAAACAAGTAGTTTTAAAGAGACCCCAATTATGCTTTTGGAGGTTTTCCCTTTCCTGTAGTGTGTTATAAAGGTTTTTGGGCATGTACCACAATGACATCACTATGTAACACTCGCACTTCTATTGGCTAACTCTCCAACACTAATACTACCTTCGCATACTCGCAACATTGTCAGCTTTATTTGGCTCTTCATGCCGATTCCAACTTATCTGCATTCTAAACCACAGGGAAATTATTTTATCAGTAATTGAAATGGCTATGCTTGTGAATGAGCAGTGGACCTACAAAATAACCAATGAGCATCAAAGGAACATGCTTCTGGACCAATGAGTATCCACAGAGCGAAGCACACTAATAGGCCAATGAGCATCTCTGGTGATATACAGGAGTTCATGCAGGAGGAATGAGAACATTAGCACACACATGTATACTCTTATACATCCACTGCTAGCTTGTCATTACACACACTGCCTGTCACTTCCAATGATACTCGCTAATGTGACAAACCGCAGTGTGTGTGTGTGTGTGTGTGTGTGTGTGTGTGTGTGTGTGTGTGTGTGTGTGTGTGTGTGTGTGTGTGTGTGTGTGTGTGTGTGTGTGTGTGTGTGTGTGTGTGTGTGTGTGTGTGTGTGCATGTGTGTGAGTTGCATAGTCAAGTCACATAGCATCTATCTCTGTAACACGATCAGCGATTGAAGCAAAGAATCGCTTTTTCATACAGTACTCGCACACTGCTTCTAGCAATCACACACACACAAGCGCACACACACACACACACACACACACACTGGTAATTTGTTTGTTTCCCATGTTTGGAGGCATTCGGTTCTGCTCCGCTGTCCCTAATGCCTCCAAAACACATCATTATCTGACTTATATAGGCCTGGGAGTGTGTGCGACTGTGTGAGTGTGTGTCTGAATGAGAATATGTGTTGCTGTTTTGTTTGTGTGTGTGTGTGTGTGTGTGTTTACTAGTGTGTGTGCTAAGAGAAAAACAGTTGATTATCGAGTTCAACAGGCGAAACACTGTTTACCCTGAGAGACACAAAGCGAGCGAGAGAGACACGGAACGAGAGAAGGAAGAAAGCTTGAGGGAAGTAGAGGGAGATAATTTAGGAACAGGGAGGTGAAAAATGGGAGTCCTGGAGAGACGGAGAGAGAGTCAGAGAAGCGGACCAATGAAAAGAAGCGGGGACGGAGGGATGGTTAGAGGGAGGAGGGAAAGAGGATCAGACAAAGAAGTGAGATGACAAGCTAGGCCTGCAGGTTGCAAAGTAATGAAATTCTGTGCTATATTACTCTAAGCCATGACACCCAGACAAACATCACAGTCAGTCTGTTGTTGTAGTAGGGCAACAACCGACTTCAGAAACATGGACTGCAGCTATTTGCAAGCTGGAGTGATGAAGTCTAATCGTGGCCACAGAAAACCGCTGCGGAAACTCAAACAGTCCACATTAGCAGGAAGAGATACAGTGGAGCACGGCTTACATCCAGGGGTAAATCGACTGCATATATAAAGCCCCTCAAAGCGCTTTTATATAAAAAAAGTCAGCATTAACCGATCCACAAACATATACACTGAAGCTGAGCCTGCCATATAAGGTGCAGCTGGCACAGGGAAACACACTTTTAAAGGTATCCTATTATACTTTTTTTCATCAATATATTATAGGTCTCAGATATATACAAAACATGTCTCTGAAGTGTTTGCCTCCAAATACCAAACAGATTATTGTAGCATTACCCATAATCCCCTCTGTTTCAAAAGCGCTGATTCTCTGTCTGTTGCTTTAGATGAAAATAAGGAGCCCCTCCCCACGCCCCTCTGAAAGGGATTTGGTTAAAAATGAACACAATGGTGCTCTAGGAGGAGATTCAGGTGATAAGTGGGGGGGGGGGTTACCTTGGTTGCTGATTGGCTAATGGTTACACAAGCCAAAAAAACGTTGACATCATAAAGTGGCCAAAATCTGATCAGCTTTTTTCAGACAGGTTTTTATATAAATGAGAATATTTGTTCATGAAACTTTCAGTACTTTCAGTATCTCTTTACACAGAGGGGATTGTGCATAATAGGTGACCTTTAAACATTCACACACCATTGGCGATGCTATAAGGAGCAACTTGGTGTTAGGTATCTTTACCAAGGAAACAACGATTGTTAGACTACCACAATATCTCACAGCCACAGTCGCCCACACAGGGGATTTCCTTTTAGATCAAAAACCTGATTTGGTTTTATATTCAATCATGTCTTAATGATGTCGCCTCATGTCAGATTTGTGGTGTTTTTGCCTGTCATTGATGTCATTAGGCAATTAGAAAGTCAATGTTTTTGTCAGTTAGCAGAAACATATTTGGACAGGGAGATGAAACTTTAGATTGTACATCGTCTTTATGTTTTAAGTGTAATCAACAACAAAACCAAACTACACAACTGCTGTACTATAGTGACCTTGACAAGTCTGACTGCTGGTGCTACACCTTCGATACATCCTTGATAAAAAAAAGAAGTGCAAAGTCGTTTTCTTTTTCAACACCTCAGTCCTAAGCAGATACAATTGTGTGTTGTATGGTAATCACTGGGGAATGTAGAGCCTTTATTATTCCAACTTTCAATATGAACTGATTTCGCACGAGATATATTAAATTCAAATAATGCTTTTTATAGGAGGACAGTGGTTTATTTCAGATTCAAAGTGAATGGAAGCAACTACAGCAGCATCCGACCTATCTAATAAAATCCAGTCTCTGAAAATGTATTATTCTTAAGAAAAAATGTGTTGTGTAGAGAGGAGGTGTTGTTTACTTTTATGGCTATTTCTGAGGCAGAACCTTTTGTACTTTTAGGCACTGTGTGATATTACTTTGTATTGTATTCATCCTGCATTGAAGGAATGTATTTTTCAATACACTGAAAACTTTCTGTGGCCACTAAAGCTTTATTTTGACTGAATACTATGCATGTGTTTTTTTAACTATGAATGTCAAATAATGTAAGTTGTAATTAACTTATCGTTAAACATAATTTGCTGTCATGTAGTTGTCAGTGTTGATCAGAATTGTATAGGAAAATCTACACAAAAACTGTGACAGTATAATTAGGATAGTCAAAATAAAATCCACCCTTGATTATTTTTAACTTGAACTCAGATAATTACAAATTAACAACTGGATTTTTATTACTCTACAGTACAACCACTACATTTACATTTCAACTGAAGTGGAAGACTGACAGTGTGCTCAAAAGGAACACATTGTGTAAGTGGGAAAGCATTATTCTCCAAAGCAAAGGTTTAAACCATTTCCTTTTTCAGTTTTTACAAAATTCTCACTATAATTTAATTGCAGACTGCATGAAAAATATGTGTTAATGGATACGAGTGTGTATCTGCATCTCACCTTGTTTCCCAGGTATAGCTCAGGTGCGTTCCAGTAGTACGCTGAGCCGAGGTCATTCACAACGTCTGAGTGACGGACGCTGAGGTATGGAGGAGTCTGTCTGTGAACGGACCACACTCTTCCTCCTGTTTCTCCAAGCAGGTGCCAGCCCATCAGAGTCGTCTCCTAAAACACCAGAAGAAGAAAAATGTTTACTTTCAGCTCCTTTTACTGAGAAAACAATAGCTTGTATTCTTATATTGACATTAAAAGGCTAATATTTACTATAAATAGGCTTAGACGACGGGCCACTGCCTCTCATTTCAAATGTAGTTGCAGCTGTTTAAAATGTACCAAGAAGTAGCATAATAATATATCCCACAACGCTCTGGTCATTCTGTAAAGACTTTTGGATAAGGTCGGACACTTTGCCTGCTGCAGCAAAGGATTTAGCTTTCAACCTGTTACAGTATGCTAGTGTATGTTCACCTACACCCTTCGCCTACACACTAAGAGCAACTCATGTTGGAATAAAGTTATGAAGATTTCAGTGTGTTTGTTTAAAGCATAATCACAGAGTCTCCAACAGAACTGACCTTCATGCATAAATACAGTTTCATGCTTGTTCAAATATGTATCCATACTGTAGCAGTCTCCAATCATTTTCAACTCATTTTAAAATCTGAAAAGCTTTAATTAATAATGGCCTGTGGTCAAATTTGTAAAAATAATTGCAGCTATAATTGTGTAGCACATTCATTCTTAAATCACTACATGTTATGCTATCTTAAGGTCCCACCTGATCGGAATGTGAAGATGCATAAATAAAAATATGTGAAACTGAAAATATGTTTAAAGATGTTGTATTACATTTCAGCAAGGGAGTCTTCCAACTGATACCTAAATGTACTTTTTTTTTTCTTAACTCCTGAAAGTGTTTGTGTGTGTGTGTGTGTGTGTGTGTGTGTGTGTGTGTGTGTGTGTGTGTGTGTGTGTCAGACACACATCTGTCGTTGCAATTAACCTGACCTTGGCTTCCCCTTTTCAACACACACACACACACACACACACACACACACACACACACACACACACACACACACACACACACACACACACACACACACACACACACACACACACACACACTCTATCTGTGTCTAAATCAGGGCTGTCATCCTGTCAACGTCTCCTCTCCCCGCCTCTCTCACCCCGCTGTCAGTCAAAAACTGTTTTCCTCTTTTCACCTCTTCTCCTCCACCTCGCCTCTTGTCTTGTCTCCACTTTCCTCTTTCCAGTCTTGTCCTTTGGCTTTCTCTCCTTCGCCCTCTCCTCCACTGTGCTCCATAACTATCCATTCTTTTAAATGAATATCTTGTAAATATGTGTATTCACTTAAACACTTCATGCCCTACTGCTACTACTATTGCTCATTGACGCAACAAGTGAAGCAATGACTGCATTCCCATGAATGAAGTATGCTATTCCATGTATTCACCTCAGCCTTGTTATGGATCACATGATGGCCATAGGCGCGGCAGAGAGTTGACGTAATAGAAATATAAACAATAACCGCTGTGATTTTGGCTCATTTTTGGAGCAATAAAGAAACAGAGTTTGGTCTTTCAGCAACGAAATAGGCTGCGTATCTCTGCCCACTTCTCCCCTGTGTTAGCCTGCATAGTGGTAGAAACACAGTGTAGTGGAGGACGTCATATTAGGCTAGAGTAGCTGCAAAGAATGATTCATATCTTAAACTGCATTGTTATTCGTATTTGTGTATGTCTTATTCTATTTAAGGCTTTTTAATGCATGTTTTTAAATGTATTTAAATGTCATTTCATAATGTGTTTCTGCTGCATACCTCTTAGTGCTCTTAATGTTTTCTTGTAAAGCACTTTGAATTGCTTTTTGGTTGAAAGGTGCTATATAAATAAACTTGCCTTGCTTTTCAGGAGTAGCTAACAACCTTTTCACAATTAGTATATGATAAAACTCAGATGAAGACACATAGATATTGGCTGACAAAGTGTCTGTGTGCTTACATTGTGATAGGACCATGTGGAGGACGAGCACTGGCTGGAGATGCCCATACAGGAGCATTTGTCGCAGCCTCTTGGATTGTAACCTTGCAGGTTGAAGAATCCCAGTTTACAATGGTCACAGTTTCCTCCCTTCACGTTTTCCTGCAGGACAGAAAGACAGAGGGTACATCAAAAGTTTAAAAGGCTGCCCTCAAACTGACGTTCTGAGCACAAAGCATGTTATTGCAGTGTTAATGTGGTGAAGATAATGATGACAGGGCTAGAAAGGTTAGGGCAGTGCCATTATTTGTGCGCATAAAAGTGTGAGTACCTTGCACACACACGGTGTTACACACGGGTCAGCGTTGGTGCTTCCCTCCACACTGCAGTTACAGCGCTGGCAGGACGGGTAGCCCATATAACCCACAGCACACCTGGAGACAAATGGGTTTAATAACAATAATAATGATGAGTGTGACGAGTATTAGAGAGGTCACAGGGTCAATAATTCTAACAACCGCCGCGTCCAACCTGATCTGAGCCTTCAGTGTGCAACAAACAGCTGACCTTGCACCACAGGTGGCGGGCATGTGTGTGTAGTCTCAGAGGAAATATATTAGAAATGACTCTCTGATTAAGAGAGAAAGTGGGGTCAAGCGAAGTCTATTAAGAGGGCCTTTTAAGAAGTGATTTTAAAGACGATGCTTATGCGGTTGGCCTGATTTGAAGGCAGGTCATTAAAAAGTTTGCCGGAGAAGTTGTATAAGCTTTTAGATTAGATCAGATTACATGAAATGAGACCCACAGGGAAGTAGATAGTTGCAGTAGGGGAAAAAAGAAAAAACAGACAAGCAATTACAGCAAAAACAGATATTGATAATATAATGAGTGATAAACAATTCAAGATAAAGCACTTTGTTGAAAGTTTAACAGTTTATTTGTTTTAATTTGAGTAAGTAAAACAAGGCTACCTTTAATGGTAATAAGCTGCGTTTAGGTCCTGATTATTTTTTTTGTATAAGTTATCAAAAAGTTTCCATGTTGCATTCAAGGAAAAACAAATCAAATTGATATTCATTCGATGTCCATTTCCTTTACTATGTGCAAGGCAAAAACCATGTGTGTCATATTAAATATAATTAAAGATCTCGATAGAAACTTTCTAAACACTAATTGGATCAGACAACAGCTGAACATGTTCTGCTCACCTGTCACATAGTGTCTGTCTCTGTGTGTGTGTGTGTGTGTGTGTGTGTGTGTGTGTGTGTGTGTGTGTGTGTGTGTGTGTGTGTGTGCGTGTGCGTGCGTGTGCGTGTCTGTGTGTGTGTGTCTCTCACCTGTCACATTGCAGACCCCCAAAACCCTCCTTACACCGGCATGACCCTGCTGGCTGAACTGTCAGTCAAAAACACACACACAGACACCAAAAAGAAAACAACAGTGTGAGGGAAACAGAATGTATATCTCTTGGAAGTGGCTGCAACCTAAAATAGCTCCTATAAGAGGTGTACAATCCTCTCTAATATAAATAGTATTTGTATTCTTTCAAAAATAGAGTGTGTTCAATAGTGTTCAACAGCTTCTGTGGACAGGGTGAACTAAACTAACCCAAACCCCCATAGGAAATCAAGCAGGAAGGAATCAATTAAATGTAATTGAAGTAATATAAATTAAGATGGGGGTTTGAGTACCTCTAATTGTTCATCTACTATATCCAACATGAACAATAATCAGAAAGACGATACACATAAGGACAGAGAGGAACACTTAAAAATGATCTTAGCATACGAGGCGTAGCCTGGCTTGAATCCGGGACACATGATTGGCTGATAGAGCCATGCGGGTCACATGAGCAGGGGATGCAGGGGTCCTCCTCCTCAGCGCTCACCTGGTGAGGAAAACAATAATTTCAAGATGGATGATGTAAAGGCTTTAGTGTCATATGCACAATAGTTACAGCTTCATTTTAGCAATACAAATCTCGAAGTCCCAGGCTCCTCCAATGAGGAGGATACTATATATTTAAGACATAAGAAAAAAGAATAACTACAAAAGAACGGTGCAAGGGGCATTTTCACAAACACTAAGTTGATCATAACACATTATAAAAAAAAGCAGAGGTGCATGCATATGTTTAACGTACCTCGGCGGGTCTGTAAAATCCCGCAGCACATGTCTGACAGTTGATTCCAGCTGTGTTGTCGTGGCAATTGATACAGACTCCGCCCCCTCTGTTTTGACCTTGGACATTCAGGCTGAGTGACAGGTCTGCTACCGTCTGATTAAAGTAGCACTCCTCTGCCTTATTGTGGCAGTTACACTCTGAAAACACACACACACACACACACACACACACACACACACACACACACACACACACACACACACACACACACACACACACACACACACACACACACACAATAACGTGTTAGTGTTGTATTGACTGCAGGATTGTTGCCCCAGCTTTCCTATCCAAATACGGAGCTTGAAGCAGGGAGGGCCACTCTTTTAATCCATTTACTTCTTCCACGTAGTTTACAGAAACATCAAACCCAGTTCTGAAGACAGTGCCCTGAGGTGCACACACTGACCCTGAGCTGCGTGTTATCTCCACGGTCCAGAGAGGAAAAAAAGTAGGTCTTTTCCACAGTTTGATTGTGAGTGGGTTGCCTAGCATTAACCCCGTTTCCTACTCACCAAGTTTGACATTTAGACTTTAAAAAAGAAAAGCAAAGCATTGTTCTGTGGACATGATAGAAGAAGGGTCCCATGGATCTCTTGGAGAAACACATTATGATGTTATGAAACACTGTGTAGTTTCTCAGAGGGTTTATGATACTTTGAGGAAGGATTTCATTTCTGTGGAAAGGAACACTATGATGATAGTGTTGACAGTTCTGTTAGGGGGAATAACAGTAGTGGAAATCTGCGCATAGGCCACTTTATCCCCGGAACATTTCAGAGCCCGTTTCCAGGTCTGATCTCAGACTTGGCTCAGCTGACCTGTGAAGCCGTTTGCTGCTGCTGGGCTTCCCTTCTGCGCTGCTTCCCCCAAGACGCCCAATTCCAGCTAGGCCTTCATCCATCTCCAGCATCAGATGGCTTTAAACAATCACTCTGAACCAGGCTGTTTAACCCCGGGTGTGTATAAACACCACGATGTGTCACTTGTTGCACTTTAGTAGCCTGTGTATTATTCACCCTTAGAGCTTATCCTAATCAAGCTGTTGTATTTAAATGAATAATATGGGGGAATACAAACCTTAGGAGACAGCATATCTGATGATGCATAACTATAAATATATAATCATATTTTTTGGTAGCTCCTAGAAGATTTTTGACATTCACCTACAGTATTCCATCTTTTTTATTTACTTTTAGATGATCATTTCGTGTTGTCTATGTTTTATTTTATTTTAATATCCATATACACACTCTGTCTGTGAGAGAAATCCTTCCTCTGTTTCTCTCCCGGAGGTTTCTCTCATTTCCCCCCATTAATTGTGGGGTTTCTTGAGTGTTTTCTTGTATGCCGTGAGGATCTAAGGACAAAGGATGTTTTATGCGATACACACTCCAAATCCACCTCGACAAATATGCCATTTGTGATATTGGGCTTTAAAAATAACATTTGATTTGATTTGATATATTTTCATAGATCAGAAACGTATAAATGTTATCATATATCCTTAAATTATAATAGTTTATAAGTGTTTTTTCTTGCCAGATTTGCTCGTGGCACACATAGAAAATTACCAGACGCACAAACTTTTGATAAAGACAGCAGAAATCCCAAATGATTAACATGGACACCAACAAAGAAGACGGGGTAATGCAGCCATTTTTGCAACCCTCTGTAAGCATTGGTTGTTCAGCGTTCTGAGACACTCTGATTCTGAACGGGCTGAAGTCATTGCCTCCTTTATGGTGCTGTCAGGACCTTTAAAGTCGTGTCACCTCAGTCCTGTTGTGTCAAGGCAGGAGTAGCCGTTATCAGGTCATGAAGACTACAGCCTGTTAGAAGGAGTAGCCTGTGTGAAATAAAATGAAGATTGCATGTTGTAACCATAGTTTTATGATGACAGGTAGCCTCTAACTTCCTCGCCGTGCTGCTACATGGATGATGAAGGTTAATGGATGCTAAGGTGACTTTTGATGGCTTTATACAGTCTCATATTAAAGACTCACCCTGACCTGATTGGCAGGCAAGAATATTTATTTCAGTGAGCTCCTTCACAGTTTCATAAAGTCTGGGGTCATATAAACTGAAGGTGTGTGAAGCTGTATTACAGGCATGTTGTCTATTGACATTTGTGGGTACATATGCTACATTATAATAAACAATGTGGGCACCTACAGTACCGTAACAAGTCTGGAAAAGCATTAAAAAGTAGAGAAAGTTTAAAAAGTGACTGCTGGTTTCTAGAAAAGTAGGAGTTGTGGATAGTTGTGTGCAATTTTGTATGTGTTTTCCTTACTTTCACAGACATGTCGAGTCACGAAGGTTCCCGCCATCCAGGGCTGCTGGTTGTAACCGGGGCAACAACGATCACAGCTTTCCCCGCATGTGTTGTGTTCACACTCACAGCTGAACTTCTACACACACAGACACAGATTCACAAACAAAACCATGAGTAAAAGTCAATTAAACAGATATAAGTGACAGTGTTTACATAAATGGACGCTGACTTAATTAGAAGGCTTAGCATGGAACAATCTGAATCATCATCATATTGTGATCCCAGTGAAACCACAAGCTGTCAAGTCTCTGGTGGGGGGGAAATATCATTTTAAAAAGTTGGACCTTTTGAAAAGCTTTTCACATCCAGTACAATTGAAATGATCCACTTCATTTTTACCACATGCCAGTTTAAAATGTAGGTTTCCAATCAGCTGTTTGCTAAAAATCTGAGACACATTTGCAACCCACGGCTCTGTATATATAAGAGTCTATTAGTTGAAATGTATTTTTTGAAATATATATTTTTTCCTTTTTTTGTAAAGTGTATGTGGTCTCAGAAATCTAGGTAGGCTTTAATTTGAATTCTAAAATATGTGATTTCAGTCTGAGATTGTAAGACTCTTAACTGTGTGTTCAATGTCACAAACTTCCCTTAATTGTTGTGGTTTTGGGTGGGTGATAAAGTTATCTTCTTTGTGTGACTTTGTGTGAAAAATAGAGGGCAGCACACAAGTAATTATCAATATGCATGGCCTATTGAAAGCCTATCAAACCACACTGTATTCACAGGAGAGCCAAAGGCAATAAAATAACTTAGTTCACTTTCCAGATTGTCAGTGGGTAGCAAATGGGTTCACTACAACTCTCCCAGGAGAGACATATGTTCAAGACTAAACACAGTCGAAGCAGAATGAAGCAGGACATCTGCCAACTCGGAGGTTCAGTAATTCAATTTAGGACTTTCTGTAAATTGGTCGATGTGAAGAGGCTGCCAGATTTAACTGAGAGGAGAGCAGTACAATAGAAGAGTGGGAGCCAAGTTTGGATTGGTTGGCACGAGTGGCTTTGCCCCTTTTATCCGAGACGCAGCGCTACAGCTCCGGCTTCTGGCTTCCTTTGTACTGAGCGTGCAATCTGAACAAATGTTCTGCAGACGATCATCAACAAATCATCTCGCAGGTCTTCACCTCTTCTGCTTCCTGAACGTCTGCCCAGGATTTTACTGCATGGATGGATGAACTTGTATCAAAGGAAAGGAGCTAAGTGTCTTGTGGGCACATAGGGCGAGAGAAAATCTCTGCAAAACTCATATTTTAGCCTGATATATTAAACAAGTACAAACATGGTTTAAATATACAGTATGTGGTTATAAATAAAGATGCACAATCAGTTGGACAAAATACTGCATATCCACGCATTGAGATGATCCCTTCAATTTGAACCCTGAAAAACTATGTTGGTAAGCAGTTATATTTATATATATTTTTTTTTTGCCATTGTTGGGACATGTCTCTATGGTAATAATACTTAGTTGCAGAGACCTTATATATGCTTTTATATTTAATACGGTTGCAGAGGCACATACGCTTGACAGAAAATAAAATGGAAGAATCTTCAATGTAATTTATTATTACTGAAGCACGTTTGAAGATATAAGCAGATCGTAGCTTGTTGTTTACAGTTAAAAATACATTATGGGTTTGCTTTTTTTCAGTGACTTTAAAATACCTCTTTCATATGGCCTATAGAGAAGGGAATAAGAGAGGAGAAGAAACTAGAGCACTGGAAACTGGATCAGTGACATCACTTATTGTCAGTGACATCATCACCGAGGGACCAGACACCAGTGTCACATCTGAGTTAGTCTGCATGGGTCAGCCTCAGGACATGTAAAGGACCCAAGAGTATGTGTGTGTGTGTGTGTGTGTGTGTGTGTGTGTGTGTGTGTGTGTGTGTGGTGAGCTAGAAAGAGAAAGATCAGGTGTCTGGTATCAAACACTCCACCGTTTGAAGTGACATGGGAGACAACGCTTCACTGTGTCACCTGTGTCCCTTGCAGACAGCCAGTTACACACACACACGCACACGCACACACACACACACACACACACACACACACACACACACACACACACACACACACACACACACACACACACACACACACACACACACACACACACACACACACACACACACACACACAGTTTGATACAAGGCGGTAGATAAAAAGCTGGTGCCCGAGGTGGCTCTGTTCCTCAGTATGAAGAAGCTCCATTACCTCGTGGTATTGTTAAGTGGAGTGAGAGAAAGACAGTTAAGTATTTTACCTTAGTATAAGTGTTGAGCGGACAAGCTTTGGCGTGGCCGTAACAGATACACATCCCTCCCACTGAGATGTCCTTAATGGAATAATAGTACTGAAAAGAGACAAGGTGAGAAAAGGAATACCACAGCGTTAATGAGCATCGTAAAAATAGGATATTTTATCTCACTGGGGTGTAGTCTTTAAAAAAGCAAAGCCTGACTGAAGAAATTATGCCGCAATAGTAAAACCACATCTGGTGATTTGTTGAACAGCAGTAATGCTAAATTGCTGAATCACTTTACAATTTGACTTTTATTCATCCACTCACGCTCACAGATGGCAGCGGGCTAACATGTGGCCCGGTGCTGACCATCGGGAACAATTTGGGTTCAGTGTGCAACAATACTTTGACATGTGGATCGACCCACTTTACCTCCAGAGCTGCAGCTGCCCACAGTCTGCACAATGGCCAACTCATCTGACTCAAAAGTTGAACAATGAAACGCCTCAATCGAAAAATAAATGAGATCATTTTGTATTTTTACAGTGGATTTTTATACAATTATATTTCAATGACAGATATTTAAATTACATATTATTGTTAACATGATTATTAAACGTTTTACTCTTGTACAATGAGCTTTGGCAATACTGTGTTTGTGACATGCCAATAAAGCTTCTTTGAGTTGAATGTAATCATAATTTCAAACAAAGAAATATATGAAAAAGTGTTGAGCCTCACCCTTCTCGTCACGATGGCATCGACCTCCTTCGGGTCACGCTGAGTCAGAGTCATGAGGTCGGCGTTCAGCGTTCTGATTCGCTGAAACACCAGCCTGATGTAGCGGGCGGAGGTGAAGTTCAGCAGGGTCGAGGAGGGGTCGTCTGCACTCGGCCGGCCATTGATCAAAGACGCGTGGATCTATAGAGAGAGACAGGCGAGATGTGACAGCAGACTTAAACTGAGCCACTGTGATGAGACACACATTTAAAAGGCGCTTTTCGTTTCTTGCAACTGCAGATATTAGAGAGTAGAAGCAGTGAGAAACGTCTTCAGAGTAGCTAAGAAAGAACAAATACAGAACAGATTGGAGGACGATGAGTTGCAATAACATATCTGTTACAGGATGTGTCGTTTATTTTCAAAAATGTAAAAAAGACTTGTTTGAGCAAAAATAAAAAGTCTAAAATGTGGAGTTGTTTCCAGTATTTGTACCAAGTCAAATGTCATGATATAGTAACTAACGTTTCAAATATAACACCTTTAATTATAGATATACACGTTTCAAAATGGCTGAGTAAAAAAAAAAAAGATTTTGTGCGGTTCTGTTGTGTCAGACTTTTTGCCACAGAGATTCCCAATTCTGATTGTAATGTGTTTGTTAAGACCATCTGGCGATACAGTACGGCCAACAGAGGTGATTGGAACATGAAAAGACAAGATAATGTTGTTAAGAAGCAGAAGAACAGGATGTGTCTTTGCAAAGATTTTAAGCGAAAAACCTGAAGACCCTTGATTGGCTTTTTAGCTTTTCAGCCATATCTAACTGAAACCAAACATCTACTCAGGGAAACATAGAGTGATCTAAACTGAGGCAAAGCATTCAAAGGATACACAATAACAACAATGCAGTCATTTCCAATTCTCCTAGGAAGACAACATTTGTATGTGGCACATCTGCACAACTACAGCAATGTTTGCTCATATTAAATTGAACGAAAGAAATAGACAATTTGAATTCTAACAGTGTCGCTCTAATGTGCTAAATGCAGGAGAATAAATAAGAATCATCTATATTCTGTATCACCAATAATGATCAACAGGCAGTCACATTGCAAGGAGTGTGAGGTCCTGTCTGTCTGTCTGTCTGTCTGTCTGTCTGTCTGTCTGTCTGTCTGTCTGCTCGCCTGTCTGCCTGTCTGTCTGTCTGTCTGTCTGTCTGTCTGTCTGTCTGTCTGTCTGTCTGTCTGTCTGTCTGTCTGTCTGTCTGTCTGTCTGTCTGTCTGTCTGTCTGTCTGTCTGCTCGCCTGTCTGCCTGTCTGTCTGTCTGTCTGTCTGTCTGTCTGTCTGCCTGCTCGCCTGTCTACCTGTCTGTCTGTCCGCCTGTCTGTCTGTCTGTCTGTCTGTCTGTCTGTCTGTCCGCCTGTCTGTCTGTCTGTCTGTCTGTCTGTCCGCCTGTCTGCCTGTCTGTCTGTCTGTCTGTCTCTCTAATATGGCCAAAAGCAACATTTGGGAGCTGCAAAGAAGTCTTATGGAGAGCACCGTGTTCAGTTGTGTGTGTGTGTGTCAAGGGGGAACACTTGATGGGTGCAAGCTGCACACTTGGAAGTAACGAAGGAGATGGTTGTGTGTGTGTGTGTGTGTGTGTGTGTGTGTGTGTGTGTGTGTGTGTGTGTGTGTGTGTGTGTGTGTGATGAGCGATGGGGTGACATTGTGAATGTGTGTGCGATGCTGTGACACATCGCCTACGACTCATTATGGTTTCACTGTGATCAGACGGCTGGGGAGCTGTCAACCACACACACACACGCTATTAAACTTCTACAATAACCAAAGGCTGATGANTCCTGCAGCTCCAAGCGCTGTGACGGACCGGGGAGCGGAGCAAAACACACACTAAGAGTTAGACCTAACACACTTAGCTATTTTATCTACCTCTGGAACCAGCTAAACTAGTTATACATATATTTATTCTTCACTGTCGGGTCACTCATTAATGGATCAGTGAGCTGCATGAGATACAGACAGGCTGTCAGGAGAGAGAGAGCGTTTCCGCTAATTTCTCCCGTGTTATTATCCAAAGTTAACTTGTATGTCAACTTGAATAATGTACTTCATTTGAATGTAATAATTATGTTGGTTGTTGTTTGTGGAAGCTCCAGTGAATGAGCCCCATTAACTGAGTTTTAAACATAACTTTAAATGGAAGATCCCCATAGGCCCCGCCCACTCGATCCGATCGGAGCATCCCTATAATGTAAGTTGCGCTGACAGGTCCACACACTGCTTCCCCGCAGCGAGGCTCCCCCCACCCTCCTGTTGACAGTTCACGAGCGTCGAGCTCTTCGCCCCCCCAATGGTACTTCATATCAAAAAGGTTGCCGACCCCTGGTTTAGGCTGTCAGATACGCTGCACCGTTTTAGATTCAATGAGTGTCTCGGTTGCAAATGCTTCATTAAGTTGCATGTGTCACCCCCTTTACAAGCAACTAATTGAGTACATAGATTGCACCTTGCACTATCGCCACTAACATTTTTGAAAGTGCACCCAGACCTTCGATCGCTTCGCTCTGTCCGCCATGCCTGCGGGAGTCTCACAACAATAATAAGAGCGCTGTTGAGAAAGATGAGGAGTGGCATTTACAGTGGCCAATCAGAGGGGTCACAAACCGGATACATCACACGGGATGAGGGTTCCCAACCAACCAGAATGGTTTAAAGTTAAACTAAGGAAGTAGACGTAACACATACACCGATAGCAGCACCGTTTGTCCAGCGGCTTAACGGTATACTGATACCGTCCAATCAGGTACCGGTATTGACTTAGTACCGGTTCTCGGTACCCATCCCTACTAATGAGTGTACTTCCACCAGTGAGTGAACAAATATTACACACATCTTAAGCCGTGTGTGTGTGTGTGTGTGTGTGTGTGTGTGTGTGTGTGTGTGTGTGTGTGTGTGTGAGAAAAAAGTGACCAAATATGGATAAATGTACTGTATAACTGTGATTTCAACATTTAAAGTGGCAGCTAATAGTAGGATTTTAGTCATTTAGCAGTATTGTGTCTCAAACTTTACCTGAACGTGTGTGAAAATGTTTCAGACCTCTAGATTGAATCTTTAAACTGTCGAAACTAGAAACCATTTCGTTGTTGTCTTTCTGTTTTCTGCCACCTTCAGTCTCTTTATTCTGCTTGTGTGCACGGTATATTAGTGTAATGTAATGATTTGATACGCTCCCACTGCAGTGTGTTTTACTGCAGCCTGTTTTAACACTCGGACGTTAAACTGCCTGTGAGAGCAGAGCACGATGTTGATCTGCCTGAGTCGGGACTATAAAACATTAAAACACTTAGTGATGAATAATTCTCTTAAACACCACTCGGCTGTGTGTTTGTTTAATAACACTGGAGTGCTTTCTGGTACAGTAGCTGGCTTCTTCCTCCCTCTGTTTACAGCTCCGCTATAATCACTGGGAATTATCTTAATAAAACACAATTAGGCTCTTATAAACACACACACACACACCGCTCAATTCTCTCCAACATGAACTCATTATTTAACTACTTTTTTGAGCACTGAAAACTCACGTTAACATTAACCTTTAGAGTCGGTTTTACATCTGAATAAGAAGTTGAACAAGCTGTGATCAGTTACTTTCATATTGTCACACAGTGATATTGACATAAAGGTGAGGGAACACCTGTAGCTCACCTTTGTTCCCTCTTTCTCCACTAGAGGGAGCTAGAGGCCAGATTCCTCTCACATATGCATACAAATGAATTTCTGGCTTAGTTTGAACATGGAAAACATGGATTGTATTGGATATGTTTGCATTTAAGAGATGTGTTTATACCTCTTATCATGTATGTAGAAGATATTACTCTAAATCTGGCTATAATGGTGACTTCAAATGGCCTAAAAATGAGCTCATATGGAGAAAAAACCCTTTGTTTTTTACGATATTATCAAATACTACCATTTTTTTACTATCAATATAGCCATATTTACAATATTTTGAAAGACATTAGTGAGATTTGTAGGTTAAAAGGGAACATGTTGAAGTCCAGAGAGCTCTTAATGATTTGTATATTATATCTAAATACATTTTATAGTCAGCTGGAAGTCGCTCTGGAGTCTCAAAAAGTATGATTTGTTGTGTTTTTCTGTCTGTCTTACGTAGGGCTGCTCTCATATTTCATGCTATTTTTCAGATTTTTTATGAAATACTCGATTTCCAGTACTATTATTTCTTACAATCAGGCACATTGTGTATTGAACAATTGAAAAAAAAGCACTAGAATACATGAGAATACTCCAAAAGTGTTCCCATCTTGAATAGTTCCCGGCCAGAATGAGGCCAGTGTTGCTGGGTTACCGAGGATCAGAGTGTAATGAAGGGACATTACAGACTACTGATAGCATTAACAACTGCTTCTGTAACAGAGGAGAGGGGGAGTAAAGGGGTGATGGGAGGATAAGAGTTGGATCGGGTGAAAGGGAGACAGTCTGGGTTTCTAACTGTCCAGGTTTTCTGCCTCGTTAGCTGATTGTAGCATGCTAACATGTTTAGGAGTTTGTTACTGTCCTTACCATCTGTGGTTAGCATCTGATGCTAATGGGGAATCAAAACACAAATTACACACTCGACCAAATGTTGTGGCGATCCAATTAATAGGGGGAATTATAGTGATGTCTAAAATGTCTAAAATGGTCGGACAGAGAAGCTGGATATATATTAAATTAATATGTTCTGGGAAAATATAATCATATATTTTCAGCCCTAGCTGTAAGAAATACTTTAATACTGTTATAATTAAGTTCTCTTGTCCTTCTATCTTTCTCTGTCTCTCTCTCTTCTTTGTTTTTCCTCTCTTTCACACCCGCAAACCGTTAAGCCAGACAACTCCTCAGTGAGGAATCCAAGACCACCGCTCAATCACTCAACCACGAAACACACACACACACACACACACACACACACACACACACACACACACACACACACACACACTACTACTACTACTATAGTATGTAGTACGATACGTACGTACGTACGTACACACACACACACGACGACACACACACACACGACGACACACACACACACACACACACACACACACACTACACACACACACACACACACACACACACACACACACACACACACACACACACACACACACACACACACACAC